TTTTTTAATTTATTATGAAAATAAAAACCCAAAAGAAACAAATACAATATAATATTAAACATTCCTCGGGCGAATTAAAACTAATACATAAAAATATTAGTTATCTAAAAATAAACAAAGGGAAGTGACTCCCACATGTAAACACCGAAAGAGACGCCGTGGCATCCCCAACTACCATTAGCCCCACACAGTCACCAGTAGGTCATCATACTCCCCAATTGCCTACGAACCCTTTCTTTCACTGTTTCATTGGAGATATGGTCCCTATAGCAGATGCCAAAAATGCTTCTGCAGCATCTCATCTCCATCACCTTTATTTTCCTTTCAAGATCGGCTGTTAATGTCCAGGATTCGCAGGCATACAGGAAAATGGAGAGGACTAATGACACTGATTAGCATGTTATAAAAATCATAAAAAACATCTAAAAATAGTAGTAGTAGCCTACATTATATGCCAAAACGTACGAGTTAACAGGTCTGATGCAATAATCCTACCCCCCTCCCCCCCCACATGTGATTATGTGCCAGCCTTCTAGCACGCCTAAATTAGTTAGGAAAAGTAAAGTACTGTAAAAGGTAAAGTTCAAAAGTTAAAATTAAAAACTTAAAAGTAAATAAGTAAAGCAACACTATAAAAACATGTGGTAGGCTAATCCCTTTTAAGCGCGATTAATTATTTCTAGTAATATAAAATTAAAAATTCCTTACCACTTCCTCTTTACATGATAGAACTAATGGCCTAAAATAGCGTCTTTTTGTTCATGTACAATAACCATTTAACAAAATTGAACAAGACAGACCTGTTTACTGTTTACCCTCAAGCCCTCAAACTCTTAAAATCGTAGATTATCATCACAAAATCGTTCAATACCTTATATATATATAGTAAAAAATAAAAAGTATATACAATCTATACACCTGAAAATCGTGCATTGTACGCCAAAATCGTAAGAGTAAACAGGTCTGACAAGATAATAAAAAAAAAGTAGCCTACAATTCTTGAATCTTTTGTCATTTACGACGCCATTGTGGGAAAACAATGAGAACTCTTCTGTCTTCAAAGATACGTTATAAAAGTTGCCCAATTGGATATATTTAGATTTAAATACTTTTTTAAAAAAATTATAGATCTATCTACTTTGTCTGATATTTCTTTCTAGCCCACTGGACCCATGCACAGCAATGTAAAGGTGGTACTTGCAAGGGACCTCAATATCTGGGGGCGCATTCGCCCAGGGCGCTGCTTTTCCTTTGCACGGTTGTGCATCCATTACGGACGTAACGCGGCTAGAATTTTGAGGTTGGGGGTTATGTGGGAAATATTTGTTAAATATACACTTTAAATAAAATTGTCAATTTCCTTTCTTAAAATTTGTGACAGTTTCGATTTCTTTCTCAATAAATAGCTGGTGATTTACTAAGACTAAGAGGCAAAAAGCGGGAAAGTAATGAAATATATGTCAGTAGCGAAATAAACACCATTGCAAACAGATGAATAATAGAGCAACTTGGTTCCATTCAGATACATAAAATCACTAACACTGCCTCTCATTTTACTCACCACAAACCAGAGTCAACTTAGGTGGCATCTACTAAATAATTAAGTGCCATCTATCAAACTAGAGCTGACCAACCACAGACCATTTAAATAGCTTATTTGCCTACTATGAATCACAATTGTCGAGAAAAAGTCAATCCACTTGCATAGGAAGGGGGTTGTGGAGGGGGTGGTCCATACAGGTGCCACTTTTAAAAAAAATTATATTGAGGGCGGCATTTTCGGCGAGCTGAAGAGTTTTTTTGTTTTTGTTTTTTTTAAAACTTAGTGGTAGTGGGTGGCACAACTTTCTAGTTAACATATCGCAACATAACTCCTGGTCCGCTCGAAACGTTTCCCAGATCTGCTCATTATGAGGACACGTTACACATCACCCAACGCTTGGACATTGGTCGCTCTCTCAGTCTCTGTTGTTTGTGGAATTCTATGACGTAGCCGAGTCTCTCGCTTCGCACCTTTTTTTGCCCATGCGCCGTTTCCCTGGTCTGGCCTGCTGATTAACAAAGTCATTCTCTGATACACTAAAGTAATACGTCGGCATAGCTAGAGCGACGTGACCTCCACGGCCTTGCCATGTTTCTGTTTAGTAAGTGTAAGGCTGTGGGCAGCAACGCAGTCGCCGCGGCTTACCCGTGTATAGGTTTACTTTAAGCAGATTTCTGATCGTTAATGCTGCATGGTTTGTGTCCGCTGCGGTGGTCGCGCAAATGAACGCAGGACAAGTGAACCCACAACTCACCATAACACATCCAAACACAGGGCTAGTGAACCAACGGACAAGTTAACACGCAGAAAAGTGAATACCGGTATACAGAACATAGACAGCTGAACCCAACAACTGGGTTTGAAAAGGCCTTGGTGAGATAATCGTCATTCTTGACTTGTTCTTGTAAATTTATTTTCACTGCTAATTTGCAATGATTGGTTCCGAAAGATTTCAGCTACTTTTATAAATATGTAAATGTTTTTAATGTGCTGAAAATTATTTTACAAAATTGTGTAAATAACCATTTTTATTATATTTCTTGGGCAGATTTTTTGTTTCCTAAACTGAGTCTATTGATTTCTTATTAAAAAAACATTAATATCTACAATATTGTTTGACATTTGTAAAAATATCTAGAAAATTCTTATCTTTTATGATAATTTCACATTGATATGCTTTAAATTTCATTTTATTTGACTCCTATATTTCTAATAATGCTTAATTGATATTTTTTCTCTTTTTAAAGTGGTCCACTTAGGATTTTCCATTTATCTCTGACGTCAAATGTATTATGAGGAAAAGTATTATTATATTACGACATGCTTCAAAATTTGCAAGGTTTTTTCTATTATATTCTCTACATAATGATTGATGTTTTTTATAACATGTCTCATAAACATGTGGGGTGGGAGGGGTGTGGGTGGGGTGGGTGATTGGGTAGAGAAGTAAGGGATGTGGCGACGAAAGCTTCCCATATGTACGCAATGGAAGGGGGGATGTCTAAAAAGTATGTGTGTAGCAGGGTGGAAAAAGAAGGGGGGGAGGGGGCGAACATTTGCCTTTTTTTTGTGTACGAAATAAATAGATGGCCGCGAATGAGGCAAAACCTTCCTTTAGAACTTTTAACTAGAGATAAATTTTTTGACAAATTCATAAAAATGTAACAATTAAATACTATTTAAAAAACCAAAATAAAAAATTAAAAAAAATTATTTTCAGGAATATCTCCGGGGGGAAAAATTGAGGGGGGGGGGGCAAGTCAAGTGCCCCCCTCCCCAGTAAATGTCCCCACCCCTCCGCAGAAAAATGTGTACCGGTAGAGGAATAAAACGAATATATAAAAGAAAAACCTGTAATAATTAATGTTTGATTCAGTGTTGTCAAACCTTCGTGCCATTAACCCATTGTTGTCTAACCTTGGTGTTTTTAACCCAGGATTGTATAACCTTGGTGCCTGTAACCCAATGTTGTCCAACCTTGGTGCGTTTAAGCCATTGTTGTCCAACCTTGGTGCCTTTAACCCAGTGTTGTCCAACCTTGTTGCCTTTAACCCAGTGTTGTTAAACCTTGTTGCCTTTAACCCAGTGTTGTTAAACCTTGTTGCCTTTAACCCAGTGTTGTCAAACCTTGTTGCCTTTAACCCAGTGTTGTTAAACCTTGTTGCCTTTAACCCAGTGTTGTTAAACCTTGGTGCCTTTAACCCATTGTTGTTAAACCTCGTTGCCTTTAACCCACTGTTGCTAAACCTTGTTGCCTTTAACCCAGTGTTGTTAAACCTTGTTGCCTTTAACCCAGTGTTGTCCAACCTTGTTGCCTTTAACCCATTGTTGTCCAACACTTGTGCCTTTAACCCATTTTTGTCCAACCTTGTTGCCTTCGACCCAGGGTTGTCCAAACCTTTTTGACCCTGTGGGCTGAACAATTTATTTACGGTAACCCGAGGCCCAAAGAGTCATGTATCCAATAGTAATAACATTATTGGCAAATCAAGAATATCAATAAAACGATTAAAAACTGTTGCCCTTTGTATTGAAATATTTTGCTTTGAATTGTTCTTGCAATTTCCGTAATTGGAAGTAGTTATCAGTAGCACCTGTCCACATTGTATTTTTATAAATGTTCACCAATCAAAGAGTTTCGTTTTTTGGACTTGATGTTAGTCATTACAGAGAATCCAGCTTCACTGACGTAGTTGCTTCCGAAAACATGGTCCTCATTTTGTTTCATTGCCAAAGTTGTGAAGGCGTCATCAGAAGAAACATGACGTCATCGAGGATTTATTTTGCTACGCATTTTAAGCTTGCTTATAAAACAAAAATACGTTCAATAATCTTTCCTACTGTCTCACACAATCCTACTGTCTCACACAATCCTACTGTCTCACACAATCCTACTGTCTCACACAATCCTACTGTCTCACACAATCCTACTGTCTCACACAATCCTACTGTCTCACACAATCCTACAGTCTCACACAATCCTACTGTCTCACACAATCCTACTGTCTCACACAATCCTACTGTCTCACACAATCCTACTGTCTCACACAATCCTACTGTCTCACACAATCCTACTGTCTCACACAATCCTACTGTCTCACACAATCCTACTGTCTCACACAATCCTACTGTCTCACACAATCCTACTGTCTCACACAATCCTACTGTCTCACACAATCCTACTGTCTCACACAATCCTACTGTCTCACACAACCCTGCTTTCTCACAATATTCTTCTGTCTCGCACATCATACTTTCTCACACTATTCTTCTGCCTCACACAATCCTACTTTCTCACACTTTTCTTCTGTCTCACACATCCTACTTTCTCACACAATCCTGTTGTCTCATACAATCCTGCTTTCTCATACAGTCCTGCTATCTAACACAATCCTACTTTCTAACACAACACTGCTGTCTCACACAATCCTTACTTCATCAGTGTGTTTATTATTATCCGTAGAATTTGCATAATTTTCTGACACCACTAAACAGATACAATTATACAAATTTTGTCAAATTTCTTGAATTTATAAGTTAAGGACTTTTAAATGTGAAGTCACAACTTCTAAAATTAATTTAAAAAAAATAAAATAAATTCCGAATAAAACCGCTGTAAAATGAATATAAACAGACTTGTTGTTGTTGATTACTTTGTTATGGTTCCCGTTGAACAAATAGAGAAACAACAGAAAGTTTCCAATAGAATATGTCGCTGATTTTGATATTATTTTCTAGCAATAAAAATCTATCTTTGGTTTTGAAGTAGCATCCTTTAAGTTAAAGTTTTTAATTCAAAAACCAAATCCACGGTTACACCAGGAACGAGGGAATAAGAGTGATGTCATACATTAAAAAAAAAAAATGTAGGATACAGCTACTGAAGTACTGATTTAGAGAGTACAGAGGTCATATGAGCACTAACACATCTTTGATGAATTATGAAATGTGTATCAACCAAGTCCAGATGATACATTTTGTTTATTTAGTGTAGGGCTTGGACACACATTATATAAAGCAACAAGACGAATGTATATTGTCAGCCAAGTTTGCAAGATTGATGACGTAAAATCAATTCAAATATACCAAAAATATTCTCAGTTTGTCTTAGGAAAGATTACACCAAGTTCTTGTGCATTTACACAAGTGCTATGGTAATTTAGTCATGAGCTTAGATATGTATGAACGTGCTAAGATATTTAGTCATATGCTGAGATATTTAGTCAAGTGTTGAGATATTTATTCATGTGCTGAGATATTTAGTCAAGTGCTGAGATAGTTAGTCATATGCTGAGATATTTAGTCAAGTGCTGAGATAGTTAGTCATATGCTGATATATTTAGTCAAGTGTTGAGATATTTGGTCATGTGCTAAGATATTTAGTCATGTACTGAGATAGTTAGTCATATGCTAAGATATTTAGTCAAGTGTTAAGATATTTGGTCATGTGCTGAGATATTTAGTCATGTGCTGAGATAGTTAGTCATATGCTAAGATATTTAGTCAAGTGTTGAGATATTTGGTCATGTGCTGAGATATTTAGTCATGTGCTGAGATATTTAGTCAAGCGCTGAGATATTTAGTCCTATGCAGTTTGGTTTAGCAGTCGTTGAGAGAGCTTTGTAGTGAATTTTTGTGGATTATTTTTTTTTTTGTTATACTTATCGCGAGCTGCGTTTTAACTGTGTTTGATTCAATGTACAGCCTGAAAACTATTTGTCTGGGTTATAGCGTACATTGCTTTATGAAATTCACCTGTGTTACGACGTACCATCGTGCACAAGAAATTGTTGCAAGAAACCAATCAAATACGGAATTGTGACAATTGTAAGATTTAATATAAAAAATTTTGAACGCAACTTTAGCACTGAGTTTCATTTTTATTATCTGTATTAATAAAAACTAAATAAAACAATGAAATTTGGCAAGAAATCTGGCTAAACAGTAACAAAAGGCAATAAGGTGGCTCCGTTTGGAGCGTTGGTATTTAAATGAACGTTCTGAATAAGTCTTTCACAATATCATCACAACTTCCTATTAAAAATATATTTTCTCATTGTGCTTTAATTAGAAAGTATAAATATCCACAACTTATTAATTTTTTCTTTAAAAATAATCTTCGATTATTATTTGTTTGTCAATGAAAACAATAAAATTATTTGTTAACTTGTAATAAAAATCACTTCTGCTTATGGTACATGGCACTGTTGACCAGATCAGCCTTTCTATTTCACTGGGACATGTCTTGGGCATGGGTCTACCATATTTCCTGAAAGAAAACATATTTTCACAATTATTATCATATCGTTGAAATTGAATCAGGGTACCAATATTAATCATAGAGCTGGCGATATATTGTTTCAGAGATCCTTACAGTATCAGTAGCATAAGAACATACTAACCAATGACCTCCTAATGCTCCGACTTAAAATATTCATTTTACTCCAATATTCGGGGCATAATAACGTCTATACCAAACCACTGTTTCTCGAAATAGATTTAACACTGGATTAAAAAGTCAAGAATAAAAGTCACATTAACAGAAAGAGGTAGAATAAGGAATCAGTTAGCCGTCTGATGATACCAACTATGCAACGTGCTGATGTTTATTTACTTAATTTTGCTAAATGCGGGCAAATCATTTCTGTTTGTTTGAAAATGTGAGGGGGGGGGGGGCGCAAACAAACAGTTCGCCGGCTTGTTAAGTTGTTTTACTTTGTGTGCGTGTGCAGGTCAGTTGTGCAAGGTGTGTGCATCACAGGTCATAGGTGTGTGCAAGGTGTGTGCATATAATATGAATATATAATCAGCGAGCATTTGGTAACTGAATAGAATAGAAATGATTTGAAATTAGGTTTTGATGTATTTTTATTTATATTTTCTACAGTGCAGCTTGCAAGCGAAGTGGGAAATGTATGCAACTTCTCGTCTTGTCAATATAGTAAACTAACTAAATGTACTACAACTATTTGATTAAACAAAGGATACGAAAATCGATCGGCTGTTAAATCTCAACAAGAAGATAGCCGGCACAATAATTAAAAACATGAACAGTAACAAAAGGATGATAATTAGTCTGATAAACGTATTAAATTTAATTTAAAAAAAAAAATTGTTTTATTTTTAAATAAGTGTCCATGTCAACAAAAAGCATTTCTTGACCAAAAACTTCCCTAAACCACGGGGTCAATATTTAACCGTGCATTTTTTTAATTTTTAAAATGTTACCAACGTGCAGGCCTGCTCGTATGCTCACACACACTCACAGACACTTAAGCACACCCGCACACAAACAGTCCTCCCACCCACCCACACACACACTCACAGACACTTAAGCACACCCGCACACAGACAGTCCTCCCACCCACCCACACACACACTCACAGACACTTAAGCACACCCGCACACAAACAGTCCTCCCACCCACCCACACACACACTCACAGACACTTAAGCACACCCGCACACAGACAGTCCTCCCCCGCACCCACACACACGCACACAGAAACTAACGAAAACACACACACACACACACACAGAGTTCAGTTAGAATCCGTGCACTTATTTACGCCAGTGTAAAAAGCCATTTCAAGAGATAAAATCAGGAGACATCGTGGGAAAATTTCAAAAGTGTCACACTCTGCACTCGAGAGTTAAGGTTCTTACTACATAAAAAACGGATACCGGATAAATCACAAACGGCTGATGACGCAATACAAAGTAAAGACTTTAGTCAAATTGATAAACGATTACAAAATTTGTAAAGCAAATTGAGTGAAATAATTAATTATTCGTACAAAGGAAAAAGTAAGCCAAGATGGTTTACAAAGACTTCATGAAATCTTTAACAAGAGAGGAAATAAATTAAAAGTTATTGATAATCGTAACTCTCAAGCCAATCAAATCGTTCATTTATTTACATCCAATCAAATCGTTCATTATCCAGCCAATCAAATCATTCATTATTCCGCCAATCGAATCGTTCATTATCCAGCCAATCAAATCATTCATTATTCCGCCAATCGAATCGTTCATTATCCAGCCAATCAAATCATTCATTATTCCACCAATCGAATCGTTCATTATCCAGCCAATCAAATCATTCATTATTCCACCAATCGAATCGTTCATTATCCAGCCAATCAAATCATTCATTATTCCACCAATCGAATCGTTCATTATCCAGCCAATCAAATCATTCATTATTCCACCAATCGAATCGTTCATTATCCAGCCAATCAAATCATTCATTATTCCACCAATCGAATCGTTCATTATCCAGCCAATCAAATCATTCATTATTCCACCAATCGAATCGTTCATTATCCAGCCAATCAAATCATTCATTATTCCACCAATCGAATCGTTCATTATCCAGCCAATCAAATCATTCATTATTCCACCAATCGAATCGTTCATTATCCAGGCAATCAAATCATTCATTATTCCGCCAATCGAATCGTTCATTATCCAGGCAATCAAATCATTCATTATTCCGCCAATCGAATCGTTCATTATCCAGGCAATCAAATCATTCATTATTCCGCCAATCGAATCGTTCATTATTCAGGCAATCAAATCATTCATTATTCCGCCAATCGAATCGTTCATTATCCAGCCAATCAAATCATTCATTATTCCGCCAATCGAATCGTTCATTATCCAGCCAATCAAATCATTCATTATTCCACCAATCAAATCGTTCATTATCCAGCCAATCAAATCATTCATTATTCCACCAATCAAATCGTTCATTATCCAGCCAATCAAATCATTCATTATTCCGCCAATCGAATCGTTCATTATCCAGCCAATCAAATCATTCATTATTCCACCAATCAAATCGTTCATTATCCAGCCAATCAAATCATTCATTATTCCACCAATCAAATCGTTCATTATCCAGCCAATCAAATCATTCATTATTCCGCCAATCGAATCGTTCATTATCCAGCCAATCAAATCATTCATTATTCCACCAATCAAATCGTTCATTATCCAGCCAATCAAATCATTCATTATTCCACCAATCAAATCGTTCATTATCCAGCCAATCAAATCATTCATTATTCCGCCAATCGAATCGTTCATTATCCAGCCAATCAAATCATTCATTATTCCACCAATCGAATCGTTCATTATTCAGGCAATAACACCGTGACTTATCCCCCAAAATATCGTTTAAAATTATTTTCGAACATTTTCAAATGTATTCATTTGAAACATTTTTATATTAATCAAAATCTTTCCATTGATCCCTAGGTCCCAAGACCCCATGATTCCATTGATCCCTAGGTCCCAAATCTTCTTGATTACATTGAACCCAAGGTAACAAGACCCCGTGATTCTATTGACCCCTAGGTCCCGAGACCCCGTGATTCTATTGACTCCTAGGTCCAAAGACCCGTGATAACATTGACCCCTAGGTACCGAAACCCTGTGATTCTATTGACCCCTAGGTCCCAAGACCCCGTGATTCCATTGACCCCTAGGTCCCAAGACCCCGTGATAACATTGACCCCTAGGTCATCCACATAATCCAGTGTATCCACTAACACAGCATATCCATTGGATCGCCCATCCATGCCACCCCCCCCACCCACGGCAAACGCAGTCGATGTACAAAGCCCCTTACCTTCTGTTCCGGACACCTTACAGGTATAACGTGCCGTGTAGTGCCTCGTAGTGGGGTTACGAATGTAACTGTGGGTCTTCACAGCTCGCGGGACACCAGGTGGCTGCCTGTTGGGCACGTGGTGACGGGGACAGCGACAGCCCATCTGGCAAAGACATATGTTTACAAATGATACATGTTGGCGAGGTATTTTTTAGTGGTTAATTCACCCCCCTTCCCCCGTTCTGTGTGTGCTATGGCTCATTCACCACCTATATGTGTGTGTTAAGGTTCTTTCGTCAACTAGATGGATGGGTTATGGTTCATAATAGTTTAGTCCTTGTACAAGGCTAAATGTTTTTGTTTTTTTTGTTTTTTTAAAAAAAAGTTTTAATGCTTAATTACGCTAGCACTCAATTTTGCAAAAAAATTGTCAAATTAATGTTTTTATTTCATATTAATACTATTATAATTATTTTAAATCAGCTGTTCTTGACATTTGACATTAGACACTGAGAAGATAACTCTTGCATCCCGGATTCCCGTGTTACTTAAGTGTGATCCACTTAAGCCACACATACTTAAAAAAATATTTTGTTTTGAAAGATGTTCAGGATGACAAGGAGAAAGGACGACATACCAATTAATGGGATAATGTCTTCATTGAAATTGAAGGTATATTCAGCAACCCCTAAAACTGAAGGAAAAATAAAGACTGAGAACTGGATTATTAGTAGAGGCGTGTTCACCCTATTTCCCATTTGACACACTTTTCTGAACAAACTGATCAACCTGAATAATCTGAATATTCTGAACAATCTTACAGATTATGAACATTTCATAATGTAGTCAAAACTAAAAAAAATAAATCTAGAATCTCTCTGAATTTCTTATGTAGCACATCTAAATCTCTCAGACTATCTTATGTAGCACATTTAAATCTCTCAGACTATCTTATGTAGCACATCTAAATCTCTCAGTCTATCTTATGTAGCATATCTAAATCTCTCAGACTATCTTATGTAGCACATCTAAAACTTTCAGACTATCTTATGTAGCACATCTAAATCTCTCAGACTATCTTATGTAGACCATCTAAATCTCTCAGACTATCTTATGTAGCATATCTAAATCTCTCAGACTATCTTATGTAGCATATCTAAATCTCTCAGACTATCTTATGTAGCACATCTAAATCTCTCAGACTATCTTATGTAGAACATCTAAATCTCTCAGACTATCTTATGTAGCATATCTAAATCTCTCAGACTATCTGATGTAGCATATCTAAATCTCTCAGACTATCTTATGTAGCATATCTAAATCTCCCAGATTATCTTAAGTAGCATATCTAAATCTCTCAGACTATCTTATGTAGCATATCTAAATCTCTCAGACTATCTGATGTAGCACATCTAAATCTCTCAGACTATCTTATGTAGCACATCTAAATCTCTCAGACTATCTTATGTAGCACATCTAAATCTCCCAGACTATCTTATGTAGCACATCTAAATCTCCCAGACAATCTTATGTAGCACATCTAAATCTCTCAGACTATCTTATGTAGCACATCTAAAACTCCCAGACTATCTTATGTAGCACATCTAAATCTCCCAGACTATCTTATGTAGCACATCTAAATCTCCCAGACTATCTTATGTAGCACATCTAAATCTCTCAGACTATCTTATGTAGGCCATCTAAAACTCCCAGACTATCTTATGTAGCACATCTAAATCTCCCAGACTATCTTATGTAGCACATCTAAATCTCCCAGACTATCTTATGTAGCACATCTAAAACTCCCAGACTATCTTATCTAGCACATCTAAAACTCCCAGACTATCTTATGTAGCACATCTAAATCTCCCAGACTATCTTATGTAGCACATCTAAATCTCACAGACTATCTGATGTAGCACATCTAAATCTCTCAGACTATCTTATGTAGCACATCTAAAACTCACAGACTATCTTATGTAGCACATCAAAATCTCCCAGACTATCTTATGTAGCACATCTAAATCTCCCAGACTATCTTATGTAGCACATCTAAATCTCCCAGACAATCTTATGTAGCACATCTAAATCTCTCAGACTATCTTATGTAGCACATCTAAAACTCCCAGACTATCTTATGTAGCACATCTAAATCTCCCAGACTATCTTATGTAGCACATCTAAATCTCCCAGACTATCTTATGTAGCACATCTAAATCTCTCAGACTATCTTATGTAGGCCATCTAAAACTCCCAGACTATCTTATGTAGCACATCTAAATCTCCCAGACTATCTTATGTAGCACATCTAAATCTCCCAGACTATCTTATGTAGCACATCTAAAACTCCCAGACTATCTTATCTAGCACATCTAAAACTCCCAGACTATCTTATGTAGCACATCTAAATCTCCCAGACTATCTTATGTAGCACATCTAAATCTCACAGACTATCTTATGTAGCACATCTAAATCTCCCAGACTATCTTATGTAGCACATCTAAAACTCACAGACTATCTTATGTAGCACATCAAAATCTCCCAGACTATCTTATGTAGCACATCTAAAACTCCCAGACTATCTTATGTAGCACATCTAAATCTCCCAGACTATCTTATGTAGCACATCTAAATCTCCCAGACTATCTTATGTAGCACATCAAAATCTCTCAGACTATCTTATGTAGCACATCTAAATCTCCCAGACTATCTTATGTAGCACATCTAAAACTACCAGACTATCTTATGTAGCACATCTAAATCTCTCAGACTATCTTATGTAGCACATCTAAATCTCACAGACTATCTTATGTAGCACATCTAAATCTCTCAGACTATCTTATGTAGCACATCTAAATCTCCCAGACTATCTTATGTAGCACATCAAAATCTCCCAGACTATCTTATGTAGCACATCTAAATCTCTCAGACTATCTTATGTAGCACATCTAAATCTCCCAGACTATCTTATGTAGAACATCTAAATCTCTCAGACTATCTTATGTAGCACATCTAAATCTCTCAGACTATCTGATGTAGCACATCTAAATCTCTCAGACTATCTTATGTAGCACATCTAAATCTCCCAGACTATCTTATGTAGCACATCTAAAACTCCCAGACTATGTAAAGCAGCATATGAGAATGCTCGTCAAGTACCACCAACTAAACAACTAGCAACTGACCCTCATATTTTTGTTATGACGGGCCAGGAAATTATTAGCGGCGACAAATATGATGATTGAAAAGATATACCCTTTAAACCAAAACTTGGTGAACCAGATTTTTTTCAGAAAGATTCATCTTTTTCAACTGCTCATTCATTTAAAAATAAAAAATACATTGCGTTTATCATATATATTTGGCATATGATTAATGTCGAGTGGGATGACTTTGAAGTCAGAACCAAGATATTAGCTTTTGCTGACCATTTTTAAAAATAAACAGACAACTCGGCAGCATCCTCAACACAGATCGCCAGACATGGTCACTCAGTGAGAAAGGCACGCCTACATTAAATTCACAGCACTTGTCACTCAGTTTTTGTTGGTTTTAGCAACCAGATGCTGGGCGAGGGATGGCGCTAAGAATTAGAAGTATAAATGACTTGGAGAAGCAACCAGTGGTTTCAGACAGGATGAGATGGTGTTTCATTAATTGCAATCAGGGCCGCGAGAAGGGGGGGGGGCACTCGACCCGGGAGCCACATCGTCTTTATTTGGGATCTTTATAATGAATTAAACTACACAAAGACCTAGACAAATGCTATGTATTTCACAAAGACCAGTTATAAATGACATGTACTACCCAAAGACAAGTGACGAATGACATGTACTACCCAAAGACCAGTGACGAACGACATGTACTTAACAAAGACCAGTGACAATTGACGTGTACTACCCAAAGACCGGTGAAAAATGACTTGTACTTCACAAATACCAGTGACAAATGTCATGTACTTCCCAAAGAGCAGTGATAAATGACATGCACTTCACAAAGAGCAGTGACAATTGACATGTACTACCAAAAAAACAGTGATAAATGACATGTACTACCCAAAGACAAGGGACGACTGATATGTACTTTCCAAAGACTAGTGATAAATGACATGTACTTCACAAAGACCAGTGACTATTCACATGCACTACCCAAAGACCAGTGACAAATGTCATGTAATTCACAAAAACCAGTGATAAATGACATGTACTACCCAAAGAACGGTGATAAATGACATGTACTACGCAAAGATAAATGTCCTGTACTACCCAAATTCCAGTAACAAATGATATGTACTTCCCAAAGACCAGTGATAAATGACATTTACTTTCCAAGGGTCAGTGATAAATGACATGTATTTCACAAAGACCAGTGACAAATGAGATGTACTACGAAAATACCGGTGAAAAATGACATGTACTACTCAAAGAATAGTGACAAATGACATGTACTATCAATAGACCAGTGACAAATGACATGTACTACGCAAAGCCCAGTGACAGAAAATCGTTATTTTACTCTTCTGCCTCGGGCGGCACTTTTGTCTCTATAGTGAGCGCCGTTTACAGGTTTTACCCTGATCGCCGCCTTTGCTCTGAACGGCTCTGGGAGCACTAGTATGCACATAATGTAATCGTTAAAAATCTTTTCATTACGCTTTCAAAGCAATCTTACACAGTCAATGGTTCAATGCAATCTTACACATTCAATGTTTCAATCCAATCTTACCCAGTCAATGTTTCGATACAATTTTATCCAGTCAATGTTTCAATACAATCTTATCCAGTCAATGTTTCAATGCATTCTTGACCGTCAATGTCTCAAGGCAATCTTGACTGTCAATGACTAAATGCAACCTTGACGTCAATGTCTCATGCAATCTTGACAGTCAATGTCTCAATGCAATCTTGACAGTCAATGTCTCAATGCAATCTTGACAGTCAATGTCTCAATGCAATCTTGACAGTCAATGTGTCAATGCAATCTTGACTGTCAATGTTTCAACAGAAAACAAAGTGTTACCCTTGTAAATGTATTCCCGCCAAAATCGGGTGTCTGTTCCTCCACAGTCATGGCGATGGTGGGGTCGCTCCTGCCCTCAGACAACCCAAGTCTTATATTGTAGCACCAGCCTAAGTTACACACGGGTTCACAAGTGTAAATTCTGTTAAAGACAAGAACGGGAGGCTTAGGGTTAATTATAGTTTGAATTTGAATCGTGTCAAAGAGAGGTGGATGGAGGTAATTAGAGGTTTAACAGCAATTTGTGTTCTGTTATGTAGACTAAATAGTTATTTATGACATTCTTTAATAGACTAAAAAGCATTCTAATTAACAAATAGCTAAATATCATTTTAACAAAAAAAAAACAACAACAAAAAACAACTAAATATCATTTTAAGTACATATTTTCATTGCGTTGGAAAACAAACATATTTTGTCTTATGTAACTAGAAATAAAATTGAGGGGCGAACGGTGAGCCAGTTATTTTGTACGGGAGATAGATCGTTTAGCTGAACAGCCTGAGCCACGGGAGATAGATCGTTTAGCTGAACAGCCTGAGCCACGGGAGATAGATCGTTTAGCTGAACAGCCTGAGCCACGGGAGATAGATCGTTTAGCTGGACAGCCTGAGCCACGGGAGATAGATCGTTTAGCTGAACAGCCTGAGCCACTTATCTACCTGCATCACCGGTGACAGACGCCTAACGGTGAGTTAAACATCATTTTAAATCAGCGTCCCATTTTGTAACGGCTTTCAGTTTTTCTCCTTTCTAGATAAAGTGCTTTGAAATACCCAATAATACATTTCCATTGTCATTATGGGTAAATTAATCAATATCTATTTCATACTTCTCGGTGCATTTTCACAAATTCTTGAAATTTAAACTTTTACAAAGTATCTTGTTTTAAAATTTTCTCACACACTCTCCATTCTTTTATTCTCAAACCTTTCTCTGTCTTTATGTCCACCATGTTCTTTCTTTCATTCTGTAATTTTATTAGTCCCTCCAGCTTACAACTTACAGAATAAAGCTTTCTCTTTAAGACTTACATTTATTATATCAAAATGTTTTTGGCTCTTTCATTTAAAGCAAATTTAGGATAATTTCTTCATACACATTCGATTAAATCTTATGTCTCCCTTATCTACGCGTGGTCTTCAGTTCTGTCTTTCTGATCTTTGTGTTTCCTCCAATCCTATTATCTCCATGATCTAAGTGTGTCCTTCGGTCCTAATTTCTCCCTTACCTGCGTGTGTCCTTTGGTCCTAATTTCTCCCTGATCTACGTGTGCCCTTCGGTCCTAATTTCTCCCTTACCTACGTGTGTCCTTTGGTCCTAATGTCCCCCTGATCTATGTGTATGCACTGGCGTTGCTAGGCTAGTGCCACCTGGGGCAATTAGCTTCTTGCCGTCTGGGGCAGTCTAAGCTTCTTGCTGTCTTGTAGATTCAAGCTTCTTTTTTACGCCTGGGGCAGTCTAAGGTTCTTGCCGCCTGGGGCAGTCTAAGGTTCTTGCCGCCTGGGGCAGTCTAAGGTTCTTGCCACCTGGGGCAGTCTAAGGTTCTTGCCGCCTGGGGCAGTCTAAGGTTCTTGCCACCTGGGGCAGTCTAAGGTTCTTGCCGCCTGGGGCAGTCTAAGGTTCGTGCCGCCTGGGGCATTTCAAACTTATTGCCGCACTCTTAGGAAAAAGAAAAACCTCTGCACTTTGCATAAATTAATCCCTCCAATATTAAGGAAAAAAAAGTGCCGCCTATGGTAGACCTTCCCAACTGGACTCTTCTTTATAAGCCGCCTCTCCTGTATATTTCCCATCCATTGTTTCGTAGGACCAGTACACCAACGAGGGTAATCACCTACTTTTGCTGAGCCGTGGTATACAGGCGGTGGGCGTCATTGTTGACAGGACACGCCAGGTTGCCAGGACAGAAGCAGTTGTTGATGACCCTGGTCTCCGCGCACGTGGTCCCGTTCATCCAGTCCCGTCTCGTTGTGAACACGTCGCCACACACGGCCCTGGCAGGGCACGTTCTGTTCGCATTTCTCTGTGGAGACGTTTGAATTTCCAGTTAACGACCAGTGGAAATGGATGAAATAAAGAAGAACATTTTGTTGTTGTTGCACTTGGCCATTACATTTAATATCTATAGATCTAGTTGGAACAATTCAAATTAAATATATAACATTACTGTAGGTTGTAGTTAAAGGGAAAAGAAAATTGTAACCTAAATTCATGCAATCGATAATTAATATAAGCCATTTTGTATTTTCCTCATTCACTGCCTACATGCATCACAGACGAAAAATTGAACTTAATATTGAATTATAGATATTAGGCAATAACTTGATCTGTGAATGAAACACTAGTTTAAGTATTATCATTTAATTACAATTCGAATAGTTACGGTAGAAGTTGGACTTATTTAAATTGTGTTTACGTCATGTTTTCTCGTGCAACCCCTGCATGAACTTTGGATGACCCCAAGGTTTGCAACGCGATAGGGCGTGGCTTAATTATATGTTTTCTCGCTTGAACTTGAATACATATAAAAATAGTTTATAGTCTTTCGAAATGGAATTCTTTAGAACTTACGAGACTGACCAAGATAGGAATACACTGTGTAACCCCTTTCTGGAAAAGTCTCTAAGAAAGACTATAAATAAGCTGATTGACATAGGTAGATTGCCATTACGATACGAGACAAAGAGAGAGAGACAGAGTTTTGTGATTACGATTTGGATATCAATATTTACTCTGTGTGTGTGTGTGCACCTTTTTTAAGATTGCACCGGTACTTGGTCATTGCTGTACTGCAAGTCAATGGCCTTAGTTTTGGTTCATTCTATTTTGTAAGTTTAACTTAACCTAATAAATTATTATTTGTAATTAGACCTAATTTGGGTAGCGTTCTTTATTACTGTGTATAGTCCTTTAATAAGGAATGTTTGACACGAGCCATAGAGTCAAATAAGAGACTAAATTCTCTACATTATAGCTTTGCGTAACACAATAAAGTGTGAATTATGAATCTACACTTTTAAAAGTTCAATTGAAAATTCATATTTAAGAAGAAAATATTTAATACTAACTACAAAAGAACACAATATTTATTAGAATCAGAAAGATCAAATGAAAGGTATAAAAGCAACACAGTGACAAATTGTCATTTCCCAACCTATAATCAGGTTTAAGTTAAAGGATTCGTCATAAAATTTCGGAGATTTTTTTTTTTAACGCAGTGTTTAATAATAATTTTCTATTTCTACGCTGGTGTGTCACCATGGAAACCCACAGACAACATGTATAGTAATAGAAATTTTCGTGTAAATTAGTTTCTTAGCATCACGTCACAGAGAATACACAATTAATTTACTCTCTAATCTGCGGGGGTGGAGGGGGGAAGATTGCTTGCTTTAGTTTACGATCTGCATTGAGATCTTCGAACCCAAAAAAATCTTTTGTTCATATTTTTAAATATGTGTTATTTCTAATTTTGTCCTTTCTGCTGAACAAATGTAGCTATACTAAACGTCTATTTCATTGATCTGTGTTTTCGTCTCAAGGCTAAACCATATCTTGTTCCACTATTTGTTAAAAAAAACAAAACCCAACACAATAACAAGACTCACCCAAATGGTTGGTGGGAAGCCACACACCGACTGCGCATGTATATGGCAAACGGTCAAGGTCGTGATGAGCACAAACAGTGCTACCTGAGTCCACATGGCGCCTGATGTCGACTGAGAACCTATGAACTGTTAGCGAAAGGTTTCTTATCAAGCAGTCGTGCACCTGTTTAATGACACCAGCAGATGGAGGTGTTTTAGTTGCAACAACAAAAAAAAATATATATGTTATAACTCAGTCGTGTACCTGTTGAATGACACCAGTAGATGGAGGAGTTATTTAAAAAAAAAAACGACAATTAGCGCAATATCTTAAACGGACTTGGATTGGCCATGGACGATTTGCTAGTATTGAGGTGAACGTTTTGAAACACTTGGAAACACCTATTTCAATTCCCCTCAAAGATTGAGGCAAACTGTTCCATAAATTTGGCGCTATCGCTTCAAAGGAGCGCACTCCGTATGACTTCTTTCAGTGTCCAGCCACACTGGGAACTTTCAGTTAGGACTGTGTTGACGAGCGCAGGTTCTTTAAGGACACATGTTTAGAATTCAGTTCTTTAAGATATTGCGGTGCAGGATATTCCGGTGCAGAGCCTTCCATACAAGTGTACGTCAGGGACATACTTTTGTCGTTATTGCGCTCCCTCTCAGGAAGCTAATGGAGATCTTAAAGAGCTGGGGTGATGTGGTCAGATTTCTTTCTCCGCGATACAATGCATTCTGCAGTCTTTTGTACTTTCTGGAGACTCTAAATTTTAATTTTGGGGTAAACCCCACAAACAAATTAATGTTACAGTAATATAATTTTGACTGGAATAGAGTGGTACGGCATTGGCTGTTCTTTTATTAATTTGAGGACGCAGCTGACCCAGGGCGCGTAGATGACAGAAGCAAGCCCTGACCACAGAACTGATATGAGGAATCATTGTAAGTTTACTGTCAGTATAGAAGCCAAGGTCTCTGACAGTGTAGGACGAGCGTGTTGGCGTTGTTGATGATTGCTATTAATTGTGACGAGAATGTGTAACCCTTTACAGTAAGGTAATAGGAGTTCATAACATTTTGTCAAAAATTCCGAAAAATGTGAGGTTAAATGTAAAAAAAACAACAAAACAAACCTGTATGCCTTCTAAACGCCAGCAACCACAATCTACTGAAGTAGTTGCAGCTAAAAAAGCATGTTATAAGGAAGCTCGAAGACATCGTAGAGCGGCCATGTCAGAAGAAAAGACTGAAGAATGACGTGAAGCTAATACTGTAAGTCAACGGCAACGCAGAGAAAATATGCAAGAAAATCAACTTCAAAAACAGCTGAAAGACAAAAGGGTTGCACGCCATATTCTGAGTATATATGCTCGACCCAGCTACACCACTTAGCTTTCCAAAAAACTTCAATCAAAACGAAATTGAAAAAAGTTGTCTTGGCCCAGTGGACGCTAAATGTACATTTTGCAACGCCAAGCATTTGAAAAAAATGACTTAATGTCAAAGGCTGCCATAAAGTGATTATTACACTTAAAAGAAACATGAAAGCATCACTTCATTAACATTAAAATGAATGGATCTGATCCCAATTCAAAAAAGTTAATGGACAAATAAGTACCTACAAAAGGGCAATGGCCTTTAAATCATTGGTGGCACAAGATGATCAGTCAATAACCAAACCAGGTCCTTTTTGTTACAGAATCCATGGGCAAATTTATCATACATTTGCATTACACTCAAATCAAGGTGAATCACAAAAGTATAACCAACTTTACATTGTGGAGTCAGCCAAAGCCTTGACTGAAAGAATGAAGAATCAGGCAAACAAAATGGATGCATTCGTGTCGAGAGGCTTCAAAAACTTTTTGGTGAGACCAGTCCATACTCTAGAGAATAAAAGAACATTCTAAATGTTGAACATGATGAAATGCAAAAGAAACTTTGGGAGAACCAAATACCAATTGAATATAGCATGACATTCTTGAAAGGAAGAGTAAATAATGTGCAGTCCGGCAGAACCAACGTTCCAACAGCCATAGATGACATTGCTGCAAGTTTTCACCATGCTGATGGAGCACCTCCAGAAATTTGGGACATTACAAGTCACCCAAAAAGTAAAAATATACCAAATATATCCATCCTGAGTAAACTCTGATTCAATGTGCTTAACTTTGATTTTTCAATATGGGTATTCCTTGTTGACCACAGATCTGAAGAAATCTGTTTGTCAAGGAAATATGTCCCAGCTTCAATTGTATTTAAACCATTTCCAATTTTTGATGGAAACTTTAACCAATTTCTCAACGCAGTAAAGCTGACTCACCAAGTAATTTTATATATATATATTGTGAGACCCAAGCAAACCTTTTGAATTGGTTTTAAAAAATCAAAACACAAAATGAGATGAAGACTATAGCGTCAGTCACCTATTTGTGAACAACCACAATTTTGAAGTTAACATCTTGCCTGCAAAAGAAAGTTATATTAACTTCAACCTTCATCAGGAGTCCAAGAATTATGGCTCAAAATTCTGTATCGATGATCAGGAAATATGGAAAACCTGACTTATTTGTAACATTCACATGTAATCCTAAATGGAATGAAATCAGTGAAATTGCAACTTAACCAAACGTCTGGGAGGATGAAAGAAGGAAAACCCAGGAAGACAAAAATCTGGAAGAATGAAAGAAGGAAAACCAAGGTAGACAAAAGTCTGGCAGGATGAAAGAATAAAACCTAGGCAGACAAAGTCTGGGAGGATGAAAGAAGGAAAACATTTTCTGTGCAGAACTCTCTGATAAAGATGCCCTCCCGAAGCCTCACGAAATAGTATCATTCTTTATGCTACACCATACCATGTGGTCTATTAAATCCTGTATGATACACCATCCCATGTGGTCTGTTAAATCCTGTATGCCACACCATCCCATGTGGTCTATTAAATCCTGTATGCTACACTATCCATGTGGTAGATTGAATCCTGTATGCTACATTATCCATGTGGTCTATTAAATCCTGTATGATACATCCCATGTATCATGTATAGAAAAGGGCAAATGCATTAAAAATAAGGTTTCTGTACCGAGACCATCAGCAATATCAATAATATCAGCAATATCAGCAATATCAATAATATCAGCAATATCAGCAATATCAATAATATCAGCAATATCAATAATATCAGCAATATCAGCAATATCAATAATATCAGCAATATCAATAATATCAATAATATCAGCAATATCAGCAATATCAATAATATCAGCAATATCAATAATATCAATAATATCAGCAATATCAGCAATATCAATAATATCAGCAATATCAGCAATATCAATAATATCAGCAATATCAATAATATCAAGGCAGTGATGACGGTAACTTTGTGGGGAAAACAAAGTAAATAACAGATGGGTGGTTCCACACATGGTGCTGTGTGACCAATAAACTCGGCAAATCGGAGGTAGGGAGCCTTTTGAATTAAGTTGGTGGCCTGGAGTCTAAGCCCAGTCAAGCACCCCCCGATGGATGGAACCCGTAAGCCTTGGAAGGCTAACCATCTAAGAAAAGGTTAACTCTGAATTCAAACCAGGAGCGCAAATCATTGATTTTAAAAACAGAGATATCTATCTCTGAAATACAATGCCCACATAGACATAGTATAGAGATGTGTAGGCCAATTCAAAGCGATAATAACCTCATCAAATATGTCAATGGATCATGACTGTGCATTTAAACAATTAGTTACTGTTACCACAGAATAGAAAGTACCTTTAAATGAAGTAAAAAAAAATTACTTGGAAACTGGATATTTTAGTGCATCTGAAGCATACTGAAAGCTCACGGAATTCATAACCAAACTAATCATTTGCAAAGATTGATTAAATTTCCACCCGGAGGACAAACGTACCAAGTGGTTTATGCCAGGCAAAGACTCCGAAGCTTTACTACAAAAAGCCACAATTGCAAACTTCTGTCTTGGTTTAAACGTAATCTCTAATCTTTAAGCATATGATGTCAAAAGCCACTGATAGTAAAATCCTGACCGGATCTTTGAAAGGTACCAGGGGTATTTATTCCAAGAGTAATCCTTGCACCTAGTGACCCTGACCTTCCATTTGTATAAAGACGAAAACAGTTCCCATTGAGACTTGTTTTTTCTGTGACCATCCATAAAATTCAAGGACAGAAAGAAAATGAATCAAAGTGAACGAAGAGGAAGAGAGCAAAGAAAGAAAGGGTGAGTGAGAGAGACAGATAGAGGAAGAGAGACGGAGACTAAGAGGACGGGCAATAATTAAGAAAAATGATTACTTCAATGTCATGTTGTACTAAAAACTGGGGGAGAAAATTTAAAATGTAGAAAAAAAGTAATAACTTAATCAGGGATGACTGCCATATTGGATCATTGGGAAAAAATAAGGTACGTCACGCTTCGGAGAGTGTGGGAGGGGTCTAAGAAAGTGTGCCAGTTTCTGATGCGGAGAGGGGGAGGGGAGATCTTGTGTGACGTCACACATTAGTTTTATTTATCATACATTTATACCTGAAATTGACAGTGATGTTGATCTTTCTGAAAGATGCATTCCGACAGAAGATGTCACTTTATTATTTAGTACTTTCATTGAGTAGTATGGTTTAGATAAAATTTCATCTGGCTCTATAATTTGTTAACAATTTATTATTTCGAAAGGGAGGTAGAACTTTATGGGGAGGGTGGGGAGGGGAGCTGATATATGCGACAGATTGTATCGGGGGCAGGGCGGGGCTAAAGTTGTCAGAAAAGAGCGTCACATATTTTATGGAATGAATCTATGTGTCCTTAATCAGTCATAATATTAAGTCATCTTCGTTTTTCTCATTCATCGACTGGTTCAATGCATTGTTTAGCTGGATTGTACCTCAGCATTCATCGACTGGTTCAATGCATTGTTTAGCTGGATTGTACCTCAGCATTCATCGACTGGTTCAATGCATTGTTTAGCTGGATTGTACCTCAGCATTCATCGACTGGTTCAATGCATTGTTCAGCTGGATTGTACCTCAGCATTCATCGACTGGTTCAATGCATTGTTTAACTGGATTCTACCTCAGCTTTCATCGACTGGTTCAATGCATTGTTTAGCTGGATTGTACCTCAGCATTCCTCGACTGGTTCAATGCATTGTTTAGCTGGATTGTACCTCAGCATTCATCGACTGGTTCAATGCATTGTTTAGCTGGATTGTACCTCAGCATTCATCGACTGGTTCAATGCATTGTTTAGCTGGATTGTACCTCAGCATTCATCGACTGGTTCAATGCATTGTTCAGCTGGATTGTACCTCAGCATTCATCGACTGGTTCAATGCATTGTTTAACTGGATTCTACCTCAGCTTTCATCGACTGGTTCAATGCATTGTTTAGCTGGATTGTACCTCAGCATTCATCGACTGGTTCAATGCATTGTTTAGCTGGATTGTATCTCAGCATTCATCGACTTGTTCAATGCATTGTTTAGCTGGATTGTACCTCAGCATTCATCGACTGGTTCAATGCATTGTTTAGCTGGATTGTACCTCAGCATTCATCGACTGGTTCAATGCATTGTTTAGCTGGATTGTACCTCAGCATTCCTCGACTGGTTCAATGCATTGTTTTGCTGGATTGTACCTCAGCATTCATCGACTGGTTCAATGCATTGTTTAGCTGGATTGTACCTCAGCATACATCGACTTGTTCAATGCATTGTTTAGCTGGATTGCGACAAGGGGAGAAACAGCAAACCGCAGAGAACGCAACAGATCAAAGCCCGAAAACGGGACAGGACAACGGACATGCTAAATCTACACCCGCCACGCCCTTTCGTAGACAAGCCCCTTACTTTACAGCGGAACAGCCCCTAGTTTAGTTGGCCAATGTCGTGTAGGATGTCCATCAGTGGAACAGCCCCTAGTTTAGTTGGCCAATGTCGTGTAGGATGTCCATCAGCGGAACAGCCCCTAGTTTAGTTGGCCAATGTCGTGTAGGATGTCCATCAGCAGAACAGCCCCTAGTTTAGTTGGCCAATGTCGTGTAGGATGTCCATCAGCGGAACAGCCCCTAGTTTAGTTGGCCAATGTCGTGTAGGATGTCCATCAGCGGAACAGGCCCTAGTTTAGTTGGCCAATGTCGTGTAGGATGTCCATCAGCGGAACAGCCCCTAGTTTAGTTGGCCAATGTCGTGTAGGATGTCCATCAGCGGAACAGGCCCTAGTTTAGTTGGCCAATGTCGTGTAGGATGTCCATCAGCGGAACAGCCCCTAGTTTAGTTGGCCAATGTCGTGTAGGATGTCCATCAGCGGAACAGGCCCTAGTTTAGTTGGCCAATGTCGTGTAGGATGTTCGTCAGTGGAACAGGCCTTAGTTTAGTTGGCCAATGTCGTGTAGGATGTCCATCAGCGGAACAGCCTCTAGTTTAGTTGGCCAATGTCGTGTAGGATGTCCATCAGCGGAACATCCCCTAGTTTAGTTGGCCAATGTCGTGTAGGATGTCCATCAGCGGAACAGGTCCTAGTTTAGTTGGCCAATGTCATGTAGGATGTCAATCAGCGGAACAAGCCCTAGTTTAGTTGGCCAATGTCGTGTAGGATGTCCATCAGCGGAACAGGCCCTAGTTTAGTTGGCCAATGTCGTGTAGGATGTCCATCAGCGGAACAGCCCCTAGTTTAGTTGGCCAATGTCGTGTAGGATGTCCATCAGCGGAACAGCCCCTAGTTTAGTTGGCCCATGTCGTGTAGGATGTCCATCAGCGGAACCGCCCCTAGTTTTAGTTGGCCAATGTCGTGTAGGATGTCCATCAGCGGAACAGCCCCTAGTTTAGTTGGCCAATGTCGTGTAGGATGTCCATGAAATAAACTCGCTACATGAGAGAAAGATGGGGTGAGTGGGGAGTGCCATCGTTCGTTCTAAAATAAATCACGCCTAATTGTTACAGACCTGCCCAAACAGCTAGAGCCATGTCTCTAGCTTCTGCTATTTTATTCCCACTGCGATCCCCTCAACCTTTCCACCACCCCCCCGCCCCCCCCCCCAAACATCTCCGGTCAGCTTGAAGAGAACGTAGCCAATAAATTGCAGTGCGTGATCTAAGCGGAGATGTTTGATCGGGTGCAGTTCGGATTTGGGCTTTCATTGGTATTACTGGTCTGGGATGGATGGTAATGTGGTGTTCCGAGGCAGTTTCTGGTCGTTCGTGGAGTTGCACGTCATTCAGAAAAGGGGAGGAGGGAAATGGGAGACATTTTGAGAGAAAGACAGAGAGAGTGAGAGAGAGATGGAGAGAGTGAGGGAGGGATAGAGTGAAACATCCCCGCGTAGCGACCTCGTATTACCTCCCCTATTGATACGGACGGGTGGTCACGCAACATTGGCTTCCTTGGGGATCCATAAGAGCTTCGGGTCGTAGAAGTAATTCCATATTTAAATTTTATGACATGACATAATGTTGTTTTTAACGTCTTCAAACAGACACATACATCTTTGCGACACACTTATAACGCATTAGAATTCATGTTTCTATATAACCATTGTAGGAATGCAATTTTATTTACGAATGTACTTTTAAGGAGGTACTTAAATGTAGGTAAGTAACTTATCTTAGGTATGTAACTTATCTTAGGTATGTAACTTAATGTATTTATGTAACTTATTGTAGGTATGTACCTTAATGTAGGTATGTAACTTAATGTAGGTATGTAACTTATTTAGGTATGTAACTTATTTTAGGTATGTAACTTAATGTAGGTATGTAACTTATTTTAGGTATGTAACTTATTTTAGGTATGTAACTTATTTTAGGTATGTAACTTATTTTAGGTATGTAACTTAATGTATTTATGTAACTTATTTTAGGTATGTAACTTAATGTATTTATGTAACTTATTTTAGATATGTAACTTAATGTAGGTATGTAACTTATTTTAGGTATGTAACTTATTTTAGGTATGTAACTTAATGTAGGTATGTAACTTATTTTAGGTATGTACCTTAATGTAGTTATGCAACTTATCTTAGGTATGTAACTTATTTTAGGTATGTAACTTATCTTAGGTATGTAACTTATTTTAGGTATGTAACTTATCTTAGGTATGTAACATATCTTAGGTATGTAACTTATTTTAGGTATGTAACTTATTTTAGGTATGTAACTTATTTTAGGTATGTAACTTAATGTAGGTATGTAACTTATTTTAGGTATGTACCTTAATGTAGTTATGCAACTTATCTTAGGTATGTAACTTATTTTAGGTATGTAACTTAATGTAGGTATGTAACTTATTTTAGGTATGTAACTAATCTTAGGTATGTAACTTATTTTAGGTATGTAACTTATCTTAGGTATGTAACATATCTTAGGTATGTAACTTATTTTAGGTATGTAACTTATTTTAGGTATGTAATTTAATGAAGGTATGTAAATTATTTTAGGTATGTAACTTAATGTAGTTATGTTACTTATCTTAGGTATGTAGCTTATTTTAGGTATGTAACTTAATGTTGGTATGTAACTTATTTTAGGTATGTAACTTAAAGTATTTATGTAACTTTTCTTAGGTATGTAACTTATTTTAGGTATGTAACTTAATGTAGGTATGTAAATTAATGAAGATATGTAACTTAATATAGGTATGTAACTTGGTGTAGCTATGTAACTTAATGTAGGTATATACATTAATGTAGGTATGTAACTTATTTTAGGTATGTATGTAACCTAATGAAGTGTGTCTAACTTAATGTAGTTACGTAACTTAAATCAGATACGTTACTTAATGTAAGTATTTAACTTATTTTTAATATGCAACTTAATGTAGGTATGTAACTTAATGTAGGTATGTAACTTAATGCAGTTATTTAAATTAAAGTAGGTATAACTTAATGTAGTTAAGTAACTTATATCAGGACGTAAGTTAATGTAGGTATGTAACTTATTTTTGGTATGCAACTTAATGTAGCTGTGTAAGTTATTTTGGTATGCAATTTAATGTAGGTATGTAACTTAATGTAGGTATGTAACTTAATGTTGGTATTTAAATTTATGGAGGTATGTAGCTTAATTTTGGTATGTAACTTAATGTAGGTTTGTAACTTAATGTTGGTATGTAACTTAATGTTGGTATGTAACTTAATGTAGGTTTGTAACTTATTTTAGGTATGTAACTTAATGTAGGTGTGTAACCTTATGTAGTTAAGTAACTTATATCAGGTATGTAACTTATTTTTGGTATGTAACTTAATGTAGATATGTAAATTATTTTAGGTATGTAACTTATTTTAATAATGTAACTTAATGGAGTTATGTAGTCTAACATAGGTATATAACTAATTTTAGATTGGTAACTTGATGGAGTTATGTACCTTATGGAAGGTGTGGAACTTAAATTAGGTATCTAAATTAATGTCCCTATTTTTTTTTTTTTAAAGCAACATCTATTTTTTCCCCTCCAGAATTGGATATCATGACGTAGTCTGTAGGGCAGTGCACTGTTTCTCTATCCAGTGCACAATCCTCTTCGCCAGCCACCGATTGAGACAACAGTCATAAAAACCACCTTACACACAGTCATTTCAACGCGTGATGCCGTCTCTAATCTTTCAGTTTACCACCAGACACCTGGTCGTTGTGTAGCGGGTACATACCTAAAATATTAATGAGATGACCTGAAATAAATACTGTTCCTTTATTTTCAACGTCAACCAATAATGCCCCCCTTCTACCCCCTCCCTTCCACAAATCACCTCCTCCATTACGTACTCTCTCCAATTCATGAAAAGACCCACCCTTCACACTTACACACACACACACATACACACTCACACACATACTCTCACACACTCTCTGTCTGTCACACACACGAAAACTAATTCCGACTCCAAGAATTCTAGTCCAAGAAGTGTTTCTCTCTACAACACTTTGTTACGTCACAGAAAGGAATGTTCCCTCCCTTGCCCGATAACGTCATCCAATGCTATACCCTGCTCACCCCCCCCCTTGCTTTTTCTATTTGTGGCGCCCAATGAAACGCACACAACCTGGCAGTGGCAATCTACAAGATGTTTTTATTTAGTTTGACATCCAGCAGAGAACCGTACGTTATCAGGCCCAGTTGACCTTGTCCGGTGTTTACATTCAAATAAACATCCCACGACACGGGATGAGTTCAAACCTGGGCTGTGGAGATAGCAGCCTCCATTTCAACTTCAGGGCATGGCACAAACGAGTTTTACCACTATATTTATTATTATTGTTATCATTATTTTTATTCCAGTGATCTGACATAGCGATGTACCCCAGCCGAGGGCTAGGCTCACTCACCGCGATGCACTAATCATAAACATAACATTTAAAAAGTCACATACATTTATTTACTTTAAAAAAACAGCTTTATAAAAAAAAAATGTCTAATCCCCCCGCCCAGAACTATTTACATGTCAAGCCATGGGCGCCACCCAGCAGCTTCGTTTATCGGTCATCATTATTTAAAAGCCTACATATTTTTTTGGTTTTGTTATGTATGTAAGGTATTTCTTTTGTTTTTTGTTTGGGGGGTATTTTGTTGTTGTATGGCTTAAATTTCTTTCTTTAACTTCTTAGCGTGAATATTTCTCTCCTAGACAACACATACCCTACTGGTATGACATTTGGTACATAGTTTCATCTCACGGTATGTTTGAAATAATTTTTCGCTCCATGTGTCCAACTGTCCTATTCCAAAAGATTCGCAAAAAAAAAATAAATAAAAATAATAATAATCATAAATAATATCACATTTTACACATTTTATTTCTTCTTCTTCTTCTTCTATATCTTAAGGGCCCACGATCAATTTATTAATCATTTTGGCTCCTATGCATGTAGAAGGGATTTGCAACGTTTCTGTTCCTGGTGTTGATGAGGGAATTTCACAGATTTCCAGTGCCACTCTGTGAGGTAATCATGCACTAGGGGTTTGAAGGCTTGAGGCAATAGACACACATGTGTCTAGTGTTGTCGCCTCAACCGTTCCTTTTGAAAGATTGTTCCAGTCCCAGATTGTCTTTGGCAGGAATGAGCAGCTCCTATACTGGCTTCTTGCTGGTATGAGCCTGAATTGCCTGTCATGGCCTCGTCGCTGTCTATTGGGGAGAGGGACGAGTTTCTGTTTAATACTGGAACAGTGGACCAGCCCATAATTAAGCTTTTACATCATGGAGAGCCTGGATTGTCGTCGTCGTTTCTCCAATGTTGACCAGCCTAGTGTTTCTAGCATGCTGCCAACACTAGAGGTATTCCTGTAGCGGTTTAGGACAAAACGTGCTGCTCGTCGCTGGACCGCCTCCAACCTGTCAATGCTCTTCTGGGTAAATGGGTCCCAGACTGAAGATGCATAATCTAAAACCGGACGGACAAAGGCTTTATATGCTCTTTCTTTCACACAGGAGTTGCCAATCTTAAGATTTATCCTTAAGAACCCAAAGGGTCTTGTTTGCTTGGATACATACATTGTTAATATGCTCGTCCCAGCGGACCTCTCTTTGAATGGTAACACCCAGGTACTTTACGGAGGAAACTGGCTCAAGTATAAGGCCATGCAGTTCGTATTGGTAGTGTAGAGGAGTACAACTTCTAGAGACTGATAGTGTCTGGCACTTGGCAGGGTGAAATTCCATTCCCAGCTCATCTCCCACTCAGCTAACAGATTGAGATCCTGTTGTAGCTGGTCCTGGTCAGATCTGTTGGCGATCATCCTATACACTGCATGCTGTGTCATCTGCGAACAGTTTTGCTTGTGATGTCAGTTTCTCGGGTAGGTCATTAATGTATGCTGGGAACAGCACTGATCCCTGGGGGACCCCTGACTTCACATCAACAAAGGAGGAGCCTGTACCGTCCACCACTACTGCTTGGCGTCGGTGGCTGAGGAAGCTAGAGATCCATGTTTTAGTGGTGCCTTGAATCCCATATATCTGGAGTTTGTGTAGAAGCAAACTATGATTCACCCGGTCAAATGCTTTTGCGAAGTCCATTACTAACACGTCAGTCTGCTTGTGGTTCTCCAGATTGGTCATCAGGTCTTCTACAAATTCTGCTCCAATCAGACTCGTTTTTTGTGCCCGCTTATTTAAGCTGTTCCATTGGCTGATAACCATATACGAACTCGTTAAATCAGCTGAAGTAACGTAAAATGAGTCATTGAATAAGATAAGGTACCGTCTAATGACTAATGCTTCAACACGGGCCAGTCAAGATCTAACAAGACGTCTTTATTGTTTGACACGGGCCAGTAAAGCTCTAACATTACGTCTTCATTGTTCGACAGGGGTCAGTAAAGATCTAACATGAAGTTTTCGTTGATAAAAATATTTGTCATAAAATGAACACCACCAATTAGGCATTGGTTCACATTTGTAAAAAAAAAAATACTCATTTTAATCGTGTCAGAATCATAGCACCGATTATGGACAGTAATTGCAGTCCTGAGTAGCTTAAGCCATACGTAATTAAAATCACTAAAAAGCTACTGATAAATATGAAAACAAAATATTGTGAAACTGAAATAGTAAATTCTATTATAAAGTGAACTAAATTGATGGGTAAAGAGGGAAAGGAAAGATCGTTTTGTAATGATGCTTATTCACAGAAATAAGAAATCTATTGTTGTTGCCTATGTAAATGACACTTGGACCCTAACAAAACCGGCAGAAAAACCTACTAAACACATGGGAGAGAAAAGTTCTCCAGGAGAATAATACATGGACCAACATAGGAGGATAGTCGAAAGAGAATACGGACCAAAAGAGGATGATAGTGGATGGAGAATACGGACAAACAGAGGATGACAGCGGATGGAAAACACGGAAAAACAGAGGATGATAGTGGATGGAGAATACGGACCAAAAGAGGATGATAGTGGATGGAGAATACGGACCAACATAATTTGACATTTATTATTAGACCTCTGAGTTATACGCCCTTACAGAAGTAAAAAGACAATTTTTTGAGATAGTTGTTGTAGGGAGTTAGGGAGATAATTCAGACATAGTGTTAATGAAGGGAGTTAGGGAGATAATTCAGACATAGTGTTAATGAAGGGAGTTAGGGATATAATTCAGACATAGTGTTAATGTAGGGAGTTGGGGAGATAATTCAGACATAGTGTTAATGTAGGGAGTTAGGAAGATAATTCAGACATAGTGTTAATGTAGGGAGTTAGGGAGATAATTCAGACATAGTGTTAATGTAGGGAGTTGGGGAGATAATTCAGACATAGTGTTAATGTAGGGAGTTAGGGAGATAATTCAGACATAGTGTTAATGTAGGGAGTTAGGGAGATAATTCAGACATAGTGTTAATGTAGGGAGTTGGGGAGATAATTCAGACATAGTGTTAATGTAGGGAGTTAGGGAGATAATTCAGACATAGTGTTGATGTAGGGAGTTAGGGAGATAATTCAGACATAGTGTTGATGTAGGGAGTTAGGGAGATAATTCAGACATAGTGTTAATGTAGGGAGTTAGGTAGATAATTCAGACATAGTGTTAATGTTGGGAGTTGGGGAGATAATTCAGACATAGTGTTGATGTAGGGAGTTAGGGAGATAATTCAGACATAGTGTTAATGTAGGGAGTTAGGAAGATAATTCAGACATAGTGTTGATGTAGGGAGTTGGGGAGATAATTCAGACATAGTGTTAATGTAGGGAGTTGGGGAGATAATTCAGACATAGTGTTAATGTAGGGAGCTAGGGAGATAATTCAGACATAGGGTTAATGTAGGGAGTTGGGGAGATAATTCAGACATAGTGTTAATGTAGGGAGTTAAGGAGATAATTCAGACATAGTGTTAATGTAGGGAGTTAGGGAGATAATTCAGACATAGTGTTAATGTAGGGAGTTGGGGAGATAATTCAGACATAGTGTTAATGTAGGGAGTTAGGGAGATAAATCAGACATAGTGTTAATGTAGGGAGTTGGGGAGATAATTCAGACATAGTGTTAAAGTAGGGAGTTAGGGAGATAATTCAGACATAGTATTAATGTAGGGAGTTGGGGAGATAATTCAGACATAATGTTAATGTAGGGAGTTGGGGAGATAATTCAGACATAGTGTTAAAGTAGGGAGTTAGGGAGATAATTCAGACATAGTGTTGATGTAGGGAGTTAGGGAGATAATTCAGACATAGTGTTAATGTAGGGAGTTGGGGAGATAATTCAGACATAGTGTTAATGTAGGGAGTTAGGGAGATAATTCAGACATAGTGTTAATGTAGGGAGTTAGGGAGATAATTCAGACAAAGTGTTGATGTAGGGAGTTGGGGAGATAATTCAGACATAGTGTTAATGTAGGGAGTTGGGGAGATAATTCAGACATAGTGTTAATGTAGGGAGCTGGGGAGATAATTCAGACATAGGGTAAATGTAGGGATTTGGGGAGATAATTCAGACATAGTGTTAATGTAGGGAGTTAGGGAGATAATTCAGACATAGTGTTTATGTAGGGAGTTAGGGAGATAATTCAGACATAGTGTTAATATAGGGAGTTGGGGAGATAATTCAGACATAGTGTTAATGTAGGGAGTTGAGGAGGCAATTCAGACATAGTGTTAATGTAGGGAGTTAGGGATATAATTCAGACATTGTGTTAATGTAGAGAGTTGGGGAGATAATTCAGACATAGTGTTAATGTAGGGAGTTAGGCAGATAATTCAGACAAAGTGTTGATGTAGGGAGTTGGGGAGATAATTCAGACATAGTGTTAATGTAGGGAGTTGGGGAGATAATTCAGACATAGTGTTAATATAGGGAGTTGGGGAGATAATTCAGACATAGTGTTAATGTAGGGAGTTGAGGAGGCAATTCAGACATAGTGTTAATGTAGGGAGTTAGGGAGATAATTCAGACATAGTGTTAATGTAGGGAGTTAGGGATATAATTCAGACATTGTGTTAATGTAGAGAGTTGGGGAGATAATTCAGACATAGTGTTAATGTAGGGAGTTAGGCAGATAATTCAGACAAAGTGTTGATGTAGGGAGTTGGGGAGATAATTCAGACATAGTGTTAATGTAGGGAGTTGGGGAGATAATTCAGACATAGTGTTAAAGTAGGGAGTTAGGGAGATAATTCAGACATAGTGTTAATGTAGGGAGTTGGGGAGATAATTCAGACATAGTGTTAATGTAGGGAGTTGGGGAGATAATTCAGACATGGTGTTAAAGTAGGGAGTTAGGGAGATAATTCATACATAGTGTTGATGTAGGGAGTTAGGGAGATAATTCAGACATAGTGTTAATATAGGGAGTTGGGGAGATAATTCAGACATAGTGTTAATGTAGGGAGTTGGGGAGATAATTCAGACATAGTTTTAATGTAGGGAGTTGGGGAGATAATTCAGACATATTGTTAATGTAGGGAGTTATGGTGATAATTCAGACATAGTGTTAATTTAGGGAGTTATGGAGATAATTCAGACATAGTGTTAATGTAGGGAGTTGGGGAGATAATTCAGACATAGTGTTAAAGTAGGGAGCTAGGGAGATAATTCAGACATAGTGTTAATGTAGGGAGTTGGGGAGATAATTCAGACATAGTGTTAATGTAGGGAGCTCGGGAGATAATTCAGACATAGGGTTAATGTAGTGAGTTGGGGAGATAATTCAGACATAGTGTTAATGTAGGGAGTTAAGGAGATAATTCAGACATAGTGTTAATGTAGGGAGTTAGGGAGATAATTCAGACATAGTGTTAATGTAGGGAGTTGGGGAGATAATTCAGACATAGTGTTAATGTAGGGAGTTAGGGAGATAAATCAGACATAGTGTTAATGTAGGGAGTTGGGGAGATAATTCAGACATAGTGTTAAAGTAGGGAGTTAGGGAGATAATTCAGACATAGTATTAATGTAGGGAGTTGGGGAGATAATTCAGACATAATGTTAATGTAGGGAGTTGGGGAGATAATTCAGACATAGTGTTAAAGTAGGGAGTTAGGGAGATAATTCAGACATAGTGTTGATGTAGGGAGTTAGGGAGATAATTCAGACATAGTTTTAATGTAGGGAGTTAGGGAGATAATTCAGACATAGTGTTAATGTAGGGAGTTGGGGAGATAATTCAGACATAGTGTTAATGTAGGGAGTTAGGGAGATAATTCAGACATAGTGTTGATGTAGGGAGTTAGGGAGATAATTCAGACATAGTGTTAATGTAGGGAGTTGGGGAGATAATTCAGACATAGTGTTAATGTAGGGAGTTGGGGAGATAATTCAGACATAGTGTTAATGTAGGGAGTTGGGGAGATAATTCAGACAGAGTGTTAATGTACGGAGTTGGGGAGATCATTCAGACATAGTGTTAATGTAGGGAGTTAGGGAGATAATTCAGACATAGTGTTAATGTAGGGAGTTAGGGAGATAGTTCAGACATAGTGTTGATGTAGGGAGTTAGGGAGATATTTCAGACATAGTGTTGATGTAGGGAGTTAGGAAGATAATTCAGACATAGTGTTAATGTAGGGAGTTGGGGAGATAATTCAGACATAGTGTTAATGTAGGGAGTTAGGGAGATAATTCAGACATAGTGTTAATGTAGGGAGTTAGGGAGATAATTCAGACATAGTGTTAATGTAGGGAGTTAGGGAGATAATTCAGACATAGTGTTAATGTAGGGAGTTAGGGAGATAATTCAGACATAGTGTTAATGTAGGGAGTTAGGGAGATAATTCAGACATAGTGTTAATGTAGGGAGTTAGGGAGATAATTCAGACATAGTGTTAATGTAGGGAGTTAGGGAGATAATTCAGACATAGTGTTAATGTAGGGAGTTAGGGAGATAATTCAGACATAGTGTTAATGTAGGGAGTTAGGGAGATAATTCAGACATAGTGTTAATGTAGGGAGTTAGGGAGATAATTCAGACATAGTGTTAATGTAGGGAGTTAGGGAGATAATTCAGACATAGTGTTAATGTAGGGAGTTAGGGAGATAATTCAGACATAGTGTTAATGTAGGGAGTTAGGGAGATAATTCAGACATAGTGTTAATGTAGGGAGTTAGGGAGATAATTCAGACATAGTGTTAATGTAGGGAGTTAGGGAGATAATTCAGACATAGTGTTAATGTAGGGAGTTAGGGAGATAATTCAGACATAGTGTTAATGTAGGGAGTTAGGGAGATAATTCAGACATAGTGTTAATGTAGGGAGTTAGGGAGATAATTCAGACATAGTGTTAATGTAGGGAGTTAGGGAGATAATTCAGACATAGTGTTAATGTAGGGAGTTAGGGAGATAATTCAGACATAGTGTTAATGTAGGGAGTTAGGGAGATAATTCAGACATAGTGTTAATGTAGGGAGTTAGGGAGATAATTCAGACATAGTGTTAATGTAGGGAGTTAGGGAGATAATTCAGACATAGTGTTAATGTAGGGAGTTAGGGAGATAATTCAGACATAGTGTTAATGTAGGGAGTTAGGGAGATAATTCAGACATAGTGTTAATGTAGGGAGTTGGGGAGATAATTCAGACATAGTTTTAATGTAGGGAGTTGGGGAGATAATTCAGACATATTGTTAATGTAGGGAGTTATGGTGATAATTCAGACATAGTGTTAAATTAGGGAATTATGGAGATAATTCAGACATAGTGTTAATGTAGGGAGTTGGGGAGATAATTCAGACATAGTGTTAAAGTAGGGAGCTAGGGAGATAATTCAGACATAGGGTTAATGTAGGGAGTTGGGGAGATAATTCAGACATAGTGTTAATGTAGGGAGTTAAGGAGATAATTCAGACATAGTGTTAATGTAGGGAGTTAGGGAGATAATTCAGACATAGTGTTAATGTAGGGAGTTGGGGAGATAATTCAGACATAGTGTTAATGTAGGGAGTTAGGGAGATAAATCAGACATAGTGTTAATGTAGGGAGTTGGGGAGATAATTCAGACATAGTGTTAAAGTAGGGAGTTAGGGAGATAATTCAGACATAGTATTAATGTAGGGAGTTGGGGAGATAATTCAGACATAATGTTAATGTAGGGAGTTGGGGAGATAATTCAGACATAGTGTTAAAGTAGGGAGTTAGGGAGATAATTCAGACATAGTGTTGATGTAGGGAGTTAGGGAGATAATTCAGACATAGTGTTAATGTAGGGAGTTAGGGAGATAATTCAGACATAGTGTTAATGTAGGGAGTTGGGGAGATAATTCAGACATAGTGTTAATGTAGGGAGTTAGGGAGATAAATCAGACATAGTGTTAATGTAGGGAGTTGGGGAGATAATTCAGACATAGTGTTAAAGTAGGGAGTTAGGGAGATAATTCAGACATAGTATTAATGTAGGGAGTTGGGGAGATAATTCAGACATAATGTTAATGTAGGGAGTTGGGGAGATAATTCAGACATAGTGTTAAAGTAGGGAGTTAGGGAGATAATTCAGACATAGTGTTGATGTAGGGAGTTAGGGAGATAATTCAGACATAGTGTTGATGTAGGGAGTTAGGAAGATAATTCAGACATAGTGTTAATGTAGGGAGTTGGGGAGATAATTCAGACATAGTGTTAATGTAGGGAGTTAGGGAGATAATTCAGACATAGTGTTAATGTAGGGAGTTAGGGAGATAATTCAGACAAAGTGTTGATGTAGGGAGTTGGGGAGATAATTCAGACATAGTGTTAATGTAGGGAGTTGGGGAGATAATTCAGACATAGTGTTAATGTAGGGAGCTGGGGAGATAATTCAGACATAGGGTAAATGTAGGGATTTGGGGAGATAATTCAGACATAGTGTTAATGTAGGGAGTTAGGGAGATAATTCAGACATAGTGTTTATGTAGGGAGTTAGGGAGATAATTCAGACATAGTGTTAATATAGGGAGTTGGGGAGATAATTCAGACATAGTGTTAATGTAGGGAGTTGAGGAGGCAATTCAGACATAGTGTTAATGTAGGGAGTTAGGGATATAATTCAGACATTGTGTTAATGTAGAGAGTTGGGGAGATAATTCAGACATAGTGTTAATGTAGGGAGTTAGGCAGATAATTCAGACAAAGTGTTGATGTAGGGAGTTGGGGAGATAATTCAGACATAGTGTTAATGTAGGGAGTTGGGGAGATAATTCAGACATAGTGTTAATATAGGGAGTTGGGGAGATAATTCAGACATAGTGTTAATGTAGGGAGTTGAGGAGGCAATTCAGACATAGTGTTAATGTAGGGAGTTAGGGAGATAATTCAGACATAGTGTTAATGTAGGGAGTTAGGGATATAATTCAGACATTGTGTTAATGTAGAGAGTTGGGGAGATAATTCAGACATAGTGTTAATGTAGGGAGTTAGGGTGATAATTCAGACATAGTGTTAATTTAGGGAGTTATGGAGATAATTCAGACATAGTGTTAATGTAGGGAGTTGGGGAGATAATTCAGACATAGTGTTAAAGTAGGGAGTTAGGGAGATAATTCAGACATAGTGTTAATGTAGGGAGTTCGGGAGATAATTCAGACACAGTGTTAAAGTAGGGAGTTAGGGAGATAATTCAGACATAGTGTTAATGTAGGGAGTTAGGGAGATAATTCAGACATAGTGTTAATGTAGGGAGTTGGGGAGATAATTCAGACATAGTGTTAAAGTAGGGAGTTAGGGAGATAATTCAGACATAGTGTTAATGTAGGGAGTTGGGGAGATAATTCAGACATAGTGTTAATGTAGGGAGTTGGGGAGATAATTCAGACATAGTGTTAAAGTAGGGAGTTAGGGAGATAATTCAGACATAGTGTTAATGTAGGTAGTTGGTAGGACATTTGAGATAGGGTGTTAATGTGGGTAGTTTGGAGGACATTTGAGATATGTTGGTGATGCCGACAATTACGAGGACATTTGAGATATGTTGGTGATGCCGACAATTACGAGGACATTTGAGATATGTTGGTGATGCCGACAATTACGAGGACATTTGAGATATGTTGTTGATGACGTCATTTAGGAGGACATTTGAGATAGGCTGTTGATGCAGGCATTTAAGGGAACATTTGAGATAGGTTGGTGATGCCGACATTTACGAGGACATTTGAGATATGTTGTTGATGCAGACATTTAGGAGGACATTTGAGATAGGTTGTTGATGACGTCATTTAGGAGGACATTTGAGATAGGTTGTTGATGCAGACATTTAGGAGGACATTTGAGATATGTTCTTGATGCAGACATTTAGGAGGACATTTGAGATAGGTTGTTGATGCAGACATTTAGGAGGACATTTGAGATAGGTTGTTGATACAGACATTTAGGAGGACATTTGAGATAGGTTGTTGATGCAGACATTCAGGAGGACATTTGAGATAGGTTGTTGATACAGACATTTAGGAGGACATTTGAGATAGGTTGTTGATGCAGACATTTAGGAGGACATTTGAGATAGGTTGTTGATGCAGACATTTAGGAGGACATTTGAGATAGGTTGTTGATGCAGACATTTAGGAGGATATTTGAGATATGTTGTTGATGCCGACAATTACGAGGACATTTGAGATATGTTGGTGATGCCGACAATTACGAGGACATTTGAGATATGTTGGTGATGCCGACAATTACGAGGACATTTGACATATGTTGGTGATGCCGACAATTACGAGGACATTTGAGATATGTTGTTGATGACGTCATTTAGGAGGACATTTGAGATAGGTTGTTGATGCAGGCATTTAAGGAAACATTTGAGATAGGTTGGTGATGCCGACATTTAGGAGGACATTTGAGATAGGTTGGTGATGCCGACATTTAGGAGGACATTTGAGATAGGTTGTTGATGCAGAAATTTAGGAGGACATTTGAGATAGGTTGGTGATGCCGACATTTAGGAAGACATTTGAGATAGGTTGGTGATGCCGACAATTACGAGGACATTTGAGATAGGTTGGTGATGCCGACATTTAGGAAGACATTTGAGATAGGATGGTGATGCCGACAATTACGAGGACATTTGAGATAGGTTGTTGATGCCGACATTTACGAGGACATTTGAGATAGGTTGGTGATGCCGACATTTACGAGGACATTTGAGATATGTTGGTGATGCCGACATTTACGAAGACATTTGAGATATGTTGGTGATGCCGACATTTACGAGGACATTTGAGATATGTTGGTGATGCCGACATTTACGAGGACATTTGAGATATGTTGGTGATCCCGACAATTACGAGGACATTTGAGATATGTTGGTGATGCCGACATTTACGTGGACCCTTCCGCTCAATTTTCTTGTTTTATTTTTAACGACGGCTTTCATGGCCGTCTTTTTGAGTGTCTTTTATTCGTAACAAGTTTTTTTCCCACACCACGCTCTTATCATTCGTATACAAAGCAAGGCAACCTGTTGGGCACAGAATGTGAAGTAGGCAACCGGTTGGGCACAGAATGTGAAATAGGCAACCTGTTGGGTACAGAATGTGAAGTAGGCAACCTGTTGGGCACAGAATGTGAAGTAGGCAACCTGTTGAGCACAGAATGTGAAGTAGGCAACCTGCTGAGCACAGAATGCTAAGTACATCAAAACGAAGTGCGCCTCTTCCATCGGCGCTTACTGTTTAAAAATATTTTTTAAAAAATATAATTTGTATTGCAGCAGCTGGGGAGGGTGGTTGAGGGGGTGTTTGAGAGGGTGGTTGAGGGGGTGGTTGAGGGGGTGGTTGAGGGGGTGGTTGAGGGGGTGGTTGAGGGGGTGGTTGAGGGGACAAAAAGTGTTACCGGAGTGTGCTTTACATGTGATACTTCCATAATTCCGTGGACGTAAAAACTACAATTTACACTTTTAAAATTAAAATAGACGCCGACACCACATTGTATGATTTGTGTTTCATTACATTAAAAAATGGCAGGAATAAAGCCAAAACTAAAGTTTTTAACGCATATTGGTGTAAATCGCGTCATAATACCCATATGAGAAGTATGTTCAAGTGTCCTATCCCTCCCAATATCACTGCCCCTAATCAAGCCAACACTCCCCCAATCGTCGTCTGATTGCATTATATTATTTTTTATTAAATATACAGTAAATCAACCCCCCCCCCCATACACACTTCCGTCTGTAGATATAAATGTCATTCCGTCCCATTGTAGATCAAACAGTTGACATATAATGGACTTAATGACAGCAGCTGACTGCACCCAGCTAAATTGGTGGAGTCAAGTAGACGCTGGTGAGTCATGGCGGCAAATTGACGCGACCCGATGTTCACACACAATTTCCAGCGTTTTGGAAATGTGTACTTATGATAGGCCGGTGCGCTTATGAAAGCGTACACATTTATACCGCAGTGGAAAAAAAGTCTCTGTTTTTAAAGCTGGGGCGCATCTTGATTTTATCGCGCCTTATAACGAAACACAAAAAGGCCGACGGAATGCACTTAGAATAAAAGCTTTCAAAAGATCATAAAATATACCGAAGAGTCCACCCCTCATTATGTACCGGATTGCCGCCTTTTTTCCGACGCCTTCTTTCTGCCATCTTGATTTTTGTTAAATGTCCGTCTTCTGGTTTTTTAAGGAGCCACAGATATCTAAGTAGCCACAGATATCTAAGTAGCCACATATATCTAAGTAGCCCCAGTAGCCAACAGATATCTAAGTAGCCCCAGGTATCTATGTAGCCACAGATATCTAAGTAGCCACAGATATCTAAGTAGCCCCAGATACCTAAGTAGCCATAGATATCTAAGTAGCCACAGATATCTAAGTAGCCAACAGATATCTAATTAGCCATAGATATCTAAGTAGCCATATATATCTAAGTAGCCACATATATCTAAGTAGCCACAGACAGGGTTGCCAACTTAATAAAAACGAAATTTACTGACTAATATTTTAATTCTTAATATGTTTTTTTTTTCGGTTAAAAATAATATCACCGACACATTTTTGAAAGTAAATCTGTTCATGACCATGGAGGCAAAACCATTTTAGAATACACGCGTCGCGTGGCTATATCTCTTAAGAATATAACAGACAGCAAATTCGTAGATGTAGAATAATTTTATTGTATGACATTTTAATCTGTGTTTAATTTTTTTCAGGTATGATCTTATGCATTTATCGAGAGAATACCCCCCTCCCCCCTGGTATGATCTTATGAATTTATCGAGAGAATACCCCCCTCCCCCTGGTATGATCTTATGAATTTATCGAGAGAAATACCCCCCTCCCCCCTGCATGATCATATGAATTTATCGAGAGAAATCCCCCCCCCCCCCCTGGTATGATCTTATGAATTTATCGAGGGAATACCCCCCCCCTCCCCCTGCATGATCTTATGAATTTATCGAGAGAAATATCCCCCCCCCCCGGTATGATCTTATGAATTTATCTAGAGAACCCCCCCTCTCCCACCCCCACCCCCGAAACGACGTCCAGTTTCATTTGGCTTCAAAAGGCTTAAACTAAACATCAATTTTTTTGTCCGTACGGACAACCGTCAAAGTTTTAACGGAATTTTATGGACAAGTCATTTACAACGATTTCCGGGCTGTTCGTAAATTAACCAATGGTTTGAGGCTCTGGAGAAAGAACTGTTAAAAAGGGAAAACAACAACTATGTGTCAACTTTGAATACAGAGGGGCACAAAAAACAACAAAAAATAGTCGAACCAATAAAGTATCGCTACGCTCAATATATTTGATGATACGATTACTTTAGGCAAATCTAGGTACACCTGATTACTGCACTATAAAAATAGCTTTACTTTTTGTTATATTATTTTGTGCAACATACCCAGTTAAATGACAACACGTGGACTACGTTCCGAACAATGCGGCGTAACTCCCTTTCCATCGCTATTAAGTCCCAAAAATACTATTTTTAAATACTTTGAGCTTAGTATGGGGCCATATGGTTTCATTTCCTATTTCTTCACACTATGAGGGCCACTGTTTACTACGGGTAATAAAGGGGAGAGACTCCAGTCAGATGGATATTTCAAACTTGTTCGTGCAAACGTTATACGTACACCAAAAACGGATGGGTAAAACGTTGAGCGTTTTTTGGAATAGATTTACTTCTAATGAATATTTCGGCTTTTATCTTTTTAATTTCAAATGTTTTTAAAATACCATGTTAAGAGAAGAATTTGACTTGAGGAAGAGGGACAAAATACATGCAAAAATGAAACCTTGGATGCCCTTTGCATTTATAAAATAATTATAACGCTGCCTTAGACATATTTAGTATTGATCCCATGGATGTGTTATCGGCATGGCCCACTACAACCTGCAGGCACAAACCTTGAGGCATGGCCCACTACAACCTGCAGGCATAAACCTTGAGGCATGGCCCACTACAACCTGCAGGCATAAACCTTGAGGCATGGCCCACTACAACCTGCAGGCATAAACCTTGAGGCATGGCCCACTACAACCTGCAGGCATAAACCTTGAGGCATGGCCCACTACAACCTGCAGGCATAAACCTTGAGGCATGGCCCACTACAACCTGCAGGCATAAACCTTGAGGCATGGCCCACTACAACCTGCAGGCATAAACCTTGAGGCATGGCCCACTACAACCTGCAGGCATAAACCTTGAGGCATGGCCCACTACAACCTGCAGGCATAAACCTTGAGGCATGGCCCACTACAACCTGCAGACATACAGCTTGACGAATTGTTTGCTCCGCTAAACCATATATTTTTTTTGAAACACACTTTCTTAATGGTCTAAATTGAAATGTTTCTTTTACCCGCCATTATTCTAATCCCCACCAATGGCCATTGTTGATCAGCACGATCATTAGGAATCTTAATCAATGAATCAAGTGCACAATCCTGAAGCTCCCTAATTTTTATTTTAAAAAAATGGTATTTCCAAAAGATGATTTTTTCAACTCTGATTTAAGTTCTGTCAATCTTACCATTCCCAATGATTTATTTTCCACAATATTATTCACCTTTACCAATGACAACATTGATGAGCATGGTATTGATAAAACAAAATGAATGTCACAAATGCATGGGCTGAGCAAACCTGGGTTCTCAAATTGTATCTTTTGAAAATATTCAGACAAAAATAATGATAAAAATATTACCATTCCCATCAGTTTTGTCCTCAAAACTATTTACAATTAGCCTAAGCCTGATTGAAATTTTATTTTTGGACATGTTATAACAAGAAGGTCATCATGCAGCTGTGAGCAAAGTTCGTAGAGGATTATTCCTATATCATACTTACTATGATAACAAGATGTCGAGCAATAATGAATATCGGATTGTTGACCTACAGACAGACATAGTCTTACTTCTGGTAGACAACCTAAAGCCACAATTTCTTTCGGCCGAAACCGAAAATAAACGGAAAGCTGGCCAGAAAAAAACCCCCTGAAACTTAACTGTTCTGTTTCGGCCGAAATTATAATTTATAACATTTAAAAAAAAATTAGTAACATGTCCCTTTCAACGATAACAGTTAGTGGATACAATCAAATATCGCTACGTTCGATACCTTTGACGATCCGTATATTTAAGTCAGACGCTGTCACAGGCTTACACCATTCGATTAAAAATGTGGTATTGTTTTGAAAATAGGCCTCTCCTTATTATAAGCCAAAGTCTTAGTCTCCGTTGTCCACATTTATTAATATAACGATTTATTTATTTGTCAAAATCCACTATTTTTAAAGACTTGGAACGCTATGTTAAACTGGCTTACATCCATATAAAGGTCGACAATTTCAATAGAATTCATCCCAGCAACTAATAATTATCAAAAAAAAACAAAAAAAAAAAAACCCAGATAAGAACCACTTACTAGCACGTAACAACTTAAAAACTACAACATTTCCCCAATTATTTAACACGATAAGTTCAAAGCATTTAACAGATACATTGATGTCAACTCAACAACTTACCTACCAAAAGAAATCAACTCCAAGAGCGATTTAACAAAAGGAACACAGCGTTCTAGCTACACCACTAACGAAAAGAAACAACAAGCGAATCAAGTTTTCGTTAAGAACTGTTATCACAGCGGAGCCACAATGTTGAGTGTTTGGATCGCAGGAAACGTCTCTGTTTTCTGTGTGTGTGTGTGTTTGTGTATGTAAGTGCTTTTTTTCTCTCGTGAGTAGGGCAATGCGATGTTCGTTTATCCAGGTCAGCACAGTTGGCCTACCAGATAACCGAAATCTGCTCACAGTATCAAGCGAAAAAGGTGGCGCCCAGCTGGGGGGGGGGGGGGGTTAAATGGACGTCATTCCCATAATTCAAGGATTCCCAACCTGGGGTGCTGGCACCGTGAATTGGTGTGAGGTAACATAACAGGGGTTGAAAGAAAAAAGTATTTAAAACGGCTGAGGCAATAGCCTTTATGTTCTGATCTAAATGTTTAATATTTATAGAGGGGGGGGGGGGGGTGGGTTAAATGGACGTCATTCCCATAATTCAAGGATTCCCAACCTGGGGTGCTGGCACCGTGAATTGGTGTGAGGTAACATAACAGGAGTTGAAAGAAAATAGTATTTAAAACGGCTGAGGCAATAGCCTTTATGTTCTGATCTAAATGTTTCATATTTATGAAAAGAAATTCATCATACACATTTGTCGTCATAGAATAAGTGGGTTCACAGGGTGCCTTACTACCCTTCTGACCCCTTCTGACCACACTATTTTTGGCTTTATGGGGAGCCTTAATGCTCTTCTGACCCCCCTTTGGAGTCATAGGGCGCCTAACTACTCTCTTGCAGACATTTTTTGGCTTCATAGGGTTCCTTACTACTCTACTGAACGCAATCCCTTTGCGGAGAAATGTTTAAAGTAATTTAAAGAAAACTATTTTCACTTTTTAGTGCGTTTGAACTCGTGGTTGAAATAAATTTCTTTAATATATCTTTTATTTCTCTTTATTCTAATTTGAAAATGAATGTACGGTGAACTTATTAACCTGTGTTCTTTTTAAAGGTGGGGTCTTTTAAAAGGTGATGTCTTTTAAAAAGGTGAGGTATCTGGAGGATTGAGGGTGAGTACAAAGTGGTTAATTGGGGGGGGGGGGAAACATGCGGACAGGTCTATGTCATGTCAACCCAGTATTTAAGGATACGAGATACAACTTTAATTTCTAAGCTAAAATATCTGTTTTAAAAGCAACATTGGTGTTATGCTCTTAGGCAAAGGATAGAGCAACAATATTTCTATTCAAAAACACAGGTTGCTGACCTATACTTATAAGTGATGTTTTTACTAACTTTTGGTACAATTCAAATGAATCTTTTCCCTTGAAAGTATGTTAGTTTCAAATAGCACATTAAATTTTTACAATTGAATTCACTGTCAAATTTTTTTAATACAATGACAAATTTGTCAAAAAAAAAAAATAATAATAAAAAACTGTTAGTTTGGTCGGTAAAATCGTCATTGTGAGTCCTTTGAAAGCAATCACGACTTTTAATTTTCGGTTTCATGCTGTTTGGTTTAGGGTAAGTCTGTAGGCGCATAGTTGACTCCCGAATCTGATTTTGCCATAAAATGTTCTTAAGCAATATGTGCAAGCGATGGATGGGACATCTCTAGGTCCAGCGTTGACCCTGGTTCTTCCCGCTTCAGTAAAATTAACATTATTATTAGATGCAGGTATGTAGCATAAATGACACACAAAATAAAAATACGTGGTATTTTAAAACTGTATCAGCACAACTAAAAATAAATGAATCCAAACAGCCCAGACATAATGATACAAAGAGTGGAAACAGACCACGTCATTCCAGCATCACGGCACAGCTAGAAATTAATTAATCCCAGCATCACGGCACAGCTACAAATCACGTCATCCCAGCATCACGGCACAGCTACAAATCACGTCATTCCAGCATCACGGCACAGCTACAAATTAAGTCATCCCAGCATCACGGCACAGCTACAAATCACGTCATCCCAGCATCAAGGCACAGCTACAAATTACGTCATCCCATCATCACGGCACAGCTACAAATTACTTCATCCCAGCATCACGGCACAGCTACAAATCACATCATCCCAGCCTCACGGCACCGCTACAAATCACGGCATCCCAGCAT